ATATATATATACACCTAAAAACAGCTAAGTCTAACGACAATAGTTGACGTATAATATAGAATATATTTAATATATATATATGTACGCAGTAACGTAGCAACAACGCAGTGGTGACGATAATAATAGTAATAGTAGTAATAGCACTATATTTTCTAATATATATAAATATATAGTCGCACGGAGTGGTGTAGCGAGATAGTTAACTAGTCTGTAATCTCTATATACGAACGTCACGGTCCTTGACGCACGGTATTTAAAAAGAGGAAAAAAAAACGAGAATAAATAATTCGAGGCAAGTAACGGTAGAAATAAATTAACGAAGCGCGAGACCGTGTTTAATTAAATATCTAATTTATACATATGCGAGGAAAATGAATACTCGTAATACTCGTACGCGTCATTGGTCGCGGGCGATAATAATTCGTTCGAACACTATGTAAATTATACTATAAATAATAACCGCGCTGATGACGATATAAAAACGAATCGGCGATATGCTCGAGAGCGAATTTTACTACAGCGCCTCTTAAAGCTATCGAAAACGTCTACATTAATCTAAAGTTCCTTTTCACGGGCATGTAAGTCTTTCGCGGAAGGGAAAACGAAATTTCTCGTTTCCTATGCCCCTTTTTTTTCGCTACTACTTCGAACGGAGGAAGAAAAGTGCGAACACCGATCTTTCCCTTATCTGCGATATTTCCCCAAGTCATCTGATCGCACACTCGAATCCGCGAGGGCCAGACGACGAGAAGCGTAATTAAATGAGCGAAAAACGCCATGGAAAAGACAACGATATTTTCCTCTTTTATTCTATTTATGTATCTATTATGTTACAAGTGCTTTTACGCGACCTGCTCTTCGTAGAAACGCATTTATGATATTTACAGAGAATATTTATGAGAAAAGGGGTCGAGAATACGAAATACGCGAAGAAGGGGGGGGGGGATGATGATGAACGACATAACGAAGAATACTGTCTGTACACTGCGAAGAGAGCAAAGATCGCTCGGAACGTCGCGAGATTCCGAGGATCCTTTACAGGCGACGTAAAATGGTTTCGTTAAAGCTGCGTAGTGCCTCGTTATCCTCCACAGCGTTTTTCGTTTTCTTTTTTTCCCATTTTTTGGCTAAATTGACGTCTAAGCTCGCGCGGTGACATTACCGCGCGCAGCTTTTAATTTCATCTAAATACGCATTGTTTTATCCGCGTGTGTATGGAATTGAACTATATTTAGGAATAAAGTACTACAATAGCGTCGTGCGAAGCGTGTTTTGCGCGACCAAGGGCGCCTTCGGGCGGATCCTTCATTCCTTTTTGGGACACAATTTTGTTTTTCCTTTTTTTAATTTTTATTCCTCGAAAGTCGATTCGCGTGGAAATTTTTGCTCGTGCCGTGGGATCCGGATTATGCATATCGCGAGAATTGTAAACATCAAAATTTACGGGTGCGTGAACTTTATTTTCCTTTGCCTCGAAGCGACCTCGATCTCACGCGAGTTACATCACACGGCAACAGGCGCTGCGAGTACACAGCCGAAGCCTTTGCTAAAAATTTCTCTAATCCTCCGTCTATTCTTCGCGCACGCGATTTTCACGCGTGGATGATGCGATTCTCTCTCTAAAAGGTCGTCAATAAATAGCGAACGTAAGTGATAATGGACACCGCGCGATGGTGATTCTCAATGACGGAGGTAGAAATTTTTGCTTAATGAATTTCTGCCTATAAACTGTACAGAGCGCATCATTTGGAATGCGCGCGATAAGTCTACTAGTTTACTTTTTACAATGGGCTAATACGTGAACAATCGATTCACCTCTTCTCGTCGAGAACAGATCGACCTTAGCGATAGCCACTCGCGGACTTTACCACTTATTATGTGTTCTGTCTTTTGGATCTCTCCAAGTTTTCATTTTAAGCAGTGGTCATCTCCTGCAGGCCGTAACAGTGAACTCGCGTCTCCTCGATTGCTCTGCACCATTCCAGTGCAAATCCCTCGGGATCTTCGAGATAGTATGTCCTGTTCGGCTATAAACAAAAACATCAAAAAGTTTATATATATTTGATGTATATATTTCAAAT